TGAAATTGTTTTTAAAAGTAATTCACAATAGAATACATAAGAAATTAGATGAAGGCATAAGTAATACACAATTGGGATTTAGGAAAGGACTGGGAACACGAGATGCACTGTTTGCAGTAAGTGTTCTTTCGCAGAGATGCTTAGATATTAATCAGGAAGTATATGCCTGTTTCATTGATTTTGAGAAGGCATCTGACAGAGTGCAGCATAATCGACTTAAAGAAATTTTATTAAATAAAAACATAGACAGTAGAGACATTAGAATCATCTGTAACCTCTATTGGAATCAAACAGCAAAAGTGAAAGTTGAAAACGAACTGACCAAGGATATCCAGATTCGCCGTGGGGTCCGCCAAGGGTGTATTTTATCACCCTTGTTATTCAATTTATACAGTGAAGCCATCTCAGAATTAGCGCTTGCCGAGATCAGTGAGGGCCTTATAATAAACGGTGAGCCACTTAATAACATAAGATATGCTGACGACACCGTCCTTTTGGCAGGAACACTAGAAGAACTGCAACACCTTGCTGAACAACTAAATATATATTGCAACGATTATGGACTAAAAACCAATTTGAAGAAAACCAAGTTCATGGTATTTACAAAAGCACAAAACATCAAAGTTAAGCTAGTACTAGATAATACAGAAATTGAACAAATATCTTCGTACAAATACCTTGGAGCATGGATCACAGAAGATACTGATCAGACAAAAGAAATAAGATGCCGCATTGAAATTGCGCGGTCAACTTTTAATAGAATGAGAAAACTTTTTTGTAATCGCGATATCAATATATCGCTCCGGATAAGAATGCTTCGATGTTATATTTTCTCTACCCTCTTGTATGGAGTTGAAGCTTGGACACTTAAAAAATCCAACATTAAAAACCTAGAAGCATTCGAAATGTGGTGTTACCGACGCATTTTGAAAATATCATGGATGGATCGCAAAACAAACGAACAAGTTCTCGAACAACTAGGAAAACAATGCGAAGTTTTAAATTCCATAAAGATCAGGAAATTGGAATACTTGGGGCACATCATGAGAGGTGAAAGGTACGAACTACTAAGGAATATAATGCAGGGTAAAATCAAAGGTAGAAGAAGCGTAGGAAGACGTAAAATCTCGTGGCTACGCAATCTCCGTGAATGGTTTGGATGCAGTTCAATTGAACTATTCAGGCGAGTAACCAATAAAATTATAATTGCCAGAATGATTTCCAATCTCCGATAGGAGTGGAACTTAAAGAAGAAGAAGAAATAGTAAAAATGGAAAACCCAGTGGTCCAGATAAGGTGCAGCTGGTTCTTAAAATAACTGATTTTACTCTTAGTAAGATTTGATCATTTTGAGCAGTGTATTTGATCGGTCTGAGATTATATTATATTTATTATGACAGACAAATAATAAAAAAAAACAAACAATTGATTACATATGTTAGTTCATAAATTGTTATAACTATTAAGGTCTAAATGTTATTATATTATATTTATGATATTATTTTGAATGTCTGCATTTTATAAAGAGTATATTAATGATAATTTTTACATAAAATATGGTTGTTGTTATTATTTTTAGTATTATTAAGAAATAAAACAAACGACTTAACTCAACAATATATTAAAGCAAGATTTGTAACCAAAATAAAATATTCAAAAGAGTTAACGAATAGTTCCCACGGAGACGATACCATAGCAGTGGTTACCCGATAATCTGTTGTGGTATATCCTGTACTAACTTTAAAAAATTCATCATCATCATCATCATCAGTGGTGCTACAGCTCTAGTTGAGCCTTGACCTTCCCCAGTCTATTTCGCCAGTCGTTTCTGTTCATCACCAACCGTTGCCAATTTGCCGCGCCGATTTTCCTTGCGTCCTCGTCCACACCGTCCCTCCATCTCAGTCGTGGTCTGCCTCTACTCCTATTTCCCACTGGGACCGATAATAGAGTTCGTCTGGGTGGGTAATTTTCATTTGCTCTTGACACATGTCCAGCCCATCTAAGCCTACCTATTTTTATGAAGGATATTACATCTCTACCATTTACTATTTTTTTCTACTTCTCGTACAATTTGAAATTATATCGCCTTCTCCAAATACCATTCTCACAGAATGCGCCCATTATTCTTCTTAGTATCTTCCTTTAATAAATTCTTCTACTGGAAATCCACTTTTCGACCTTGTTGATCCTCTGGATCTTATAGATCTAGTAGATCGAAGAGTTCTTCCAGATACTAATGTTCCTTTGATGTTCTAATCTCCCTTCCTGGTTGAGCAAATTCGGGAAGATCTATTTTAGCTATTCCTCAAGGTCTCGGAATAGCGAAAAATACTTCTGGATGACTTTCATTTAAGTATGCCATTTTTAATATAAAAATTATACACTGAAGAATTTAACGTTCTTCTTCTTCTTTAGTTGCATGACCGTTATCGATCGTTGGATATCATGTTGGCTACCATATTCGCTATCGTGACTTTATTGAGAAGAGCTCTAAATAACGATGTAGTTGATTGTCCATACCATTGCCTTAGATTTTTCAGCCATGATGTTCTTCTTGTACCAGGACCACGATTACCTTGGATCTTTCTCTGAATGATCAGATGTAAAAGATCATATTTTTCAGGGTGTCTCATAATGTGACCGAAGTATTCCAGCTTGCGTTTTTTTATTATATTGACCAGTTGTGTTGTTTGGTTCAGCCGTCTAAGGACCTCCTCATTTCTACCTCTGTCGACCCAGCTTATTTTCAGTAGTCATCTGTATACCCACATCTCAAAGGCTGTCAAGCGTTTAAGGATAGCCTCAGTTAGAGTCCACGCTTCAACTCCATACAGCAGGACAGGAAAGATGTAGCAAGATGTCATTCGAACTCTAAGGTCAATGCTAAGATCGTGACTGCAAAGTACGTTTCTCATTTTTACAAAGGCAGCTCGGCTTGTTTTGTTCGGCTTTTAATTTCTACGGTTGGATACCAGCTCTCATTGATATTACTGCCGAGATACACGAGTTTCTCTACTCTGTCCAGTGTGGCATCTCCGACTTTTATACCATCATCCTATATAATTTTGTTTGCTAACTATCATATATTTAGTTTTCTTATCGTTGAGTTTTAATCCGTACTGATCACAAGTCTGTTTTATTTTGTTCATTAGATTTTGAAGGTCTTCTCCGCAATTAGCAAGGACTAAGGTATCGTCGGCATATCTAATATTGTTGACGGTTACTCCATTCACAATAATACCTTCGGTTGTCTCCATTAAGGCTTCCTTAAATATTTCCTTCGAATATAAGTTAAAAAGTAAAGGCGACAATATACAGCCTTGTCTCACTCCTCTTTTTATATTTATTTCATCCGACAGTTCTTGTTCAACCTTTATTCTTGCCACTTGATGCCAGTATAGATTTGTAATTATTCGTAGATCTTTATCGTCCAATCCAGCTGTTTCCAACATGTCTAGCATTTTGTTATGTCGGACTTTGTCAAAAGCCTTTTCAAAATCGATTGCACAAATGTACACGTTTTGATTTATATCTCTGCATCTCTATACTAGCACCTGTATACTAAACAAGGCTTCTCTTGTACCCAAGCCACTTCTAAATCCAAATTGAGTATTGCTAATTCTGTCTTCCAACAGCGTGTAAATTCTGCTGTGTATTACTCGCAGGAAGATCTTCAAAACGTGACTCATCAGACTTATTGTCCGATAATCACCGCATGTCTTTGGACAATATTTCTTAGGTATTGTGACAAATGTCGACTTTAACCAATCAGTTGGTAATACCCAGTGTCATAAATTCTGTTAAAGAGATTACACAGAGCTTTAATTCCGTTTTCTCCCAAAAACTTTGGTATTTCAGCACTTACTTCATCGGGGTCAAGTGATTTTCCAGTTTTTTCCGTTTGTATTAAACGTGTTACCTCACTTTCTGTTATAGATGAACCTGATATAGCAATCGGTGTATAGTGTTCTACTCTCTCATCTTCAAATAATTCAGAAATGTAGTTTTCCCATTCTTTTAACTGTTCATTGATGTCTAATATTCTGTGTCTGTTTCTGTCTTCTAAACTTTGGGATACTTGTTTCCGTTTTTTTCCAGCGACCTCTTTTAATTTCTTGTGCAGATGAAATGTATCGTGTTTCTCTTCATATTGTTCAATTTCATAACATTCTTTACTATGAAATTGTGTTTTCGCGTGTCTTATCTTCTGCCTGATTATTGCGTGGATCCTCTTGTTTTCGTTTTTATCTTTATTTTTGTTTTTTGAACAGTCTTTAAGTTGTCTTTAATTCTCGTCCAGTTTTTCTCAATACTTTCTTCTTTGCTTGATGTTAACTTCATTTTTTGTTCTAATATACTAGTTATTTCTTGTTTTACAGTATCATTTAGCATCTTTTCTCTATCAATAGTAGTTGTTTGCTTATTCGTCCTTGCAACTCTTTTTATTCTCAGTCTTATTTTTCCTACTAAAATATTGTGATCTGTTGGTACATCTACGCCTGGATATGTTTTTACTGCTAATACTGAATTTCTGTATCTCTTATGTATACATATGAAGTCTATTTGGTTACGAACAACTCGTTCAGGTGTATCTGTATGGTTCCCAGACCATAATTTCCTATGATATCTTCCTGTTCACCTTCACCAATCTTTGCATTAAAATCTCCCATGATAATATTGAGATAGTGTTTCTTTGTAGGTGCTAATACTTTTTCTAAATCGTGATAGAATTTTTCAATTTCTTCTTGTTCATAGTCTTGTGTGGGTGCATATACTTGTAGTATGTTCATAAAAACATAAAAATAAACATTGATTGACAAAATTTTAGGATTATGCTTTTATATAAATACAAATTAAAGTCTTTCATTTTTTTCAAGATTAAGATTTCAAGTCAACTCCTCCGATTCTACGATTCCTCTTGAATTCATCTTAAATTTTCTTTCGATAAATAGTGGAAGCCATGCTTCTTATAATAAAAAGATTACTTTCATCCACAGATGCCTTTCTCGCTGCATTAAACAATGTGATTAAAATGTTTTTGTAAGAAGTGTCAAGATACCCGAGACTGAATTTTTTTGGTGCGGTTAAGTGAACAGATACTCGATGAGTAGACTTATAAGGCCCTACAAAGGGAGCCGCCATTGGTTCTTCGTTTCATTGACGCTTATCAGTGTGGCGTCGGCTGAATACAAAGGTGAGTAATTTTATCGTCTTTATATGTTATATGAATAGGTTGTTGTGTTGTAATGCTAATAGTACGAGAGGTAGTTATCGATTACGGACGAAATACAATAGAAGTAATATATTTTAAATTGGTGGTTTATCTACAATGGATAATACAACAGTAAACATTATGTAAGACCGAATACACTCAGAAAATGTATTTTTATTTAAGTTTTTGATGATAAATTACAAATATCGAAGACATTAATTATGCATATAGGAAATATTTTTTTTTGCATATTGGCTTTGACTTGGAACCTTTAGCCACGTAATTACATATGAATATTAGTATTAATTCATACAGGATTGTACAAGGAGAACACTTTTTACGCTCAGGGATTCATCAGAGCGGCTTTATTGTAACAAGCAAGACATAAACCACGGTTAGGTAGATGGCAATACCACGGTATTGATTTCTTTATGGTTTCCCTGTTCATTTGTCCTTTTCAACAATTTTCGTCATATCTGTTTCTTGTCCCTCTTCTTCGTGGTCTGGTTCTGCTCTGATTTCCAATTTATTTTCAGAAAAATTAATCGTGATGTGTTTTTCGCTTAACTCATCTATTCCCGCTATCATATCATGATTTACATAGTCGATCACCACACATTGCGTAATTAATGATAATACTATTAATTAATGATATTTCCGATCCAGAATCAATCAAAATTTTAATTGCTTTATTTTTTATAAATGCATCTAAAAATATTAAATTTGAATTAGAGTTTTGTCTTTCGTTCCCCACCAACTGTATAAACTCTCTAGGATGACAAAATATACCAGAGAGTTTTTTATGTTTATTTAATGGAAGCTTTCTTGAAAATCCTGTATGGGTTCACTGCATCCATCTTCTTCCTCTCGTTCTACGGAAACATGATTCGGATGATTTTGTGCAACACTGTCCCTATTGTTCCTATCGTATGTTCTGTTTTGTGTGCCGTTTCTGTTTGCTCATAATTTGCTTGGTATCTTCTTTCCGGTCTATTATATTGGTCATTCTGTCTTCTATTTCTCATTTGCCTTCTTTTCGCCTCTTTTAACTCTAAAAATTGGCATAAATTATCAATATCTTGTTGGTTTCTTAAGATCACGTGATCCTCCAAAGTTTCCTCAAAATGTCTGCTGATCATTTCTACCAGCTGTTCGGTAGAATATTTGTATTCCAGATATTTTGAATTATTGTATATCTTTAATGCATATCTTTCTTCAGATATCCCCATTTCCTCAGTATACTTTCCATTTTGTAGTTCTTGATTAATTTTCCTTGGTTTATTTTTTCCCAGAAATAGTTGAGGAATTTGTTTTCGAAATCTGTCCAATTTTCAAATTCATCCTCTTTGCTTTCGTACCATAACGCTGCTCCTTCTTTCAGATGGTTTCTAATTGTTTCTTTGTAATCGTCAAAATATCCAATATGTTGCAATTTGGTTTTTAAATTTTTAACAATTGGTACTGGGTGTGTCGTTCTAATGTCCCCGCCAAATTGTACTTTCGCCTTGCTTGTGCTATGGACGATAACTGCTTTTCTCTCTCCTCCTCTTTGTTGTTTTATTTCTGCAATATGTTTTTCATTTTGCTTTAATTTCCTTTCTACTTCTTTTTTGTCTTCTTGTAGCGTCATTTCAAATTTTTCTTCTAACTGTTCTAATTCCTTTTTCTGGACAATCTTGATTTCCTTCATCTTGTTTTCTGCTTTCTTTTTTTGTTCTCCCGTTTTATTTTTAATTTCACTAATCTCTTCTATCTTTTGTATCATTTTTTGTTTTGTCTATTCCATTTTTTGTAACTGGAGTTGCATTAGTTGTAATATTTTATCTACTCCTGATGATTCTTTTCTCTCCTCAACTATTGTACCATTTAATTCATTAACGATCCTTCTTCCAAAATTGTTTCATCTTCTCTGTTATCCTCCTTCCTTTCCTGCATTTTGCTTTGTCTCCTTGTGACAAACATGTTGTTTCTTTTTGTTACTCTTTTTGTCCCCCCAAACGTGAAATTTTACCACACTCTATATGTTGCAGATACGCCACTTATCTCTTCCCAAAGCAATAAATACGATCAATCAATAAATCAAATTTTTGTCATATTGTTCTGAAGCTATTTTCTTGTGGCATTTTAAATTAATTACTATTTAACTGGGAATAAGCCACAATTAAAGATAAAAATACGTTTATTGACGTTTCAATTTCCACTTCGGAAATCGTTCTCAAAATACAAACAGTAAATTTAACAAATTTTGTTTTTTGTTGTTTAAAACAAAAAACAAAATTTGTTTAATTTACTGTTTGTATTTTGACAACGATTTCCGAACTGGAAATTGAAACGTCAATAAACTTATTTTTATCTTTAATTGTGGCTTATTCCCAGTTAAATAGTAACAAATTTTTGTCAAATGCAAAATTGTCAAAATAATTTAAAATTCAAAATTCTCAAATTGAAATTAATTATGAATGTTTCTCCCGTTGAAACGCTTCCTGTGCCTTAAGTTGTCCAATTCCTCGTTCTATGCAAAATAAACTATCAGTTCTCAGGAGCCTCCTATGTAAATGGCAATATTAAACAAGATATTGCAATTTAGTGTCTTCAATGCTCTCCTTCGAATGCACGTACCTTTCCAATGATGCCAGCCTCTTTTTCTCTCGCCAAGCTTAATCTCTCGTTCAGAAATAAACAGCGATACGTAGAATACAAGTAGGAAAAGTTTACTTACAAATTTGTACCAGATCAGCTACCGTCGGACACACTTACTGCACCAACTCACTACTTATTCTTTATCACTTACTACCCCTGGAGACCACCTCGAAAACCAACCATTCACTTTAAGAAACTGGAAGTATCTAACTATCTCATCTCCTCTATCCATCCATCCAACCTCTCATTATACACACCCATCTCACCACTTTCCAAATTCTCGGCCAATCAGAAATTTGCATACCACTCCCCACATAAAATCAGAAATACCTACAAACTTTCCTAATTCATATTATTTCTACAAGGACACTTAATTTCTACTTGGTATTTACAGATTCCGAAAAACCATTTACTTATTAACTATTTTTATTGTCCTATTCATGGCGCAAATCCGGATTACAGAACACTTTATGGCTTATGGGAAAAAACCATCGTTAACTTATATTCATTGTACCCGCACTATCCACTTGTTATATTTATACAAAAAATTATTTATGACTAAAATTACCTTTGGTTAATTCCAGGCAGTTCGGAGTATTGTGTTTCGAAACTATTTTACGATTGTTGTAATTAGATGTCGCTACTGCGTCCGTATTGAAGCCATGTTATTGTTGCTTCTTAAAAGACAGAAAATATTGATTTTTCACGTTGAGAAGCCCTATGAATAGCTCTTCTGATGAGACCTATTAGGTCGAAATACGTATCAAGAGATACATAGGATTTGTTTGCGTGAAATCAAATATTTGCTGCCTTTTCTCATTTTATTCGGATTTGCTCTGTGTGAGTACAAGAAGCACAATTCGCTAAGGATTTCTGCTTAGTTGTAAAAGACATGTCGTGGAATGCAAATTTTAGATTCCCCATGTCTCTTTTAACATCTTTTATCAACGTCTGTTTGCCTTGCAATTTTTAGAAGGCTCAGATTATAAAGCAGAAATCTGAATTGTGTTTCGAAACTATTTTACGATTGTTGTAATTAGATGTCGCTACTGCGTCCGTATTGAAGCCATGTTATTGTTGCTTCTTAAAAGGCAGAAAATATTGATTTTTCACGTTGAGAAGCCCTATGAATAGCTCTTCTGATGAGACCTATTAGGTCGAAATACGTATCAAGAGATACATAGGATTTGTTTGCGTGAAATCAAATATTTGCTGCCTTTTCTCATTCTCATTTCTCATTTCAATATTTTTACTCTTCAATTTTGAATACCATAACAATATATATTAAATCAAAATATGATTTTTAAATTATCATACTAAGTTAATTTTAAAAAGTACGTCGGGACCACCAGCCGCTTTCACGCCTTAATGCTCGCGTGTGAACACGCTCTTAACGGCCAGTAAAATAAAACAGGACTAGACTTCAACTGCCTTATGCAACGTCCTGTTTGATAATTTCCAGCATCTCGGCGATAAAAATCGCGCTGAAAAGTTCTTCGACAAGGTTTAACACGCCATAAATATTTACATTCAATCTATAAAGTATTTTATGGCATTGGTACGGTGCATGTCGTGTAGTTACGGATATAATACGGGATAATTAGTGCCAACATCGGTACTGCCATATATTAAGAAACACGTCGAGAACGTTTACGTTTTCTTGAGCGGTTTCATGTAGGGACACTGATATTTATTGAACGAGCAGTAAATAAGGAAGTGAAATAAGAACTACAATAAGGAAAAATGTGTTTAATTTATATTTTAGTATAGAAGATAACAAAAAATAGATTTATCGAAGGTTAAATAGGGATACGTGATCAACTTATTAGCACATTCAATTCCCTGTGTACTTGAGATGAGTTTTATGGAAATAGTTCATTATTTTAACTCAAAAGACTCAAATAAACATGTAAAAAGCTATGCCATTGATCTTTCTCTCATGCAATAAATTTCTTCTTCTTCCTCTTTATAAACAATTGTGCTTGTTCATTGGCGGATTAATACCTGTATATAAGATTGTCACTCCATCTTTTCCGCCGTCGTCTGATACTCTTCTGCCGATTGGTGATGACACAGGTCTTCCCCATTCTGCTTATGTGGTTATTCCATTCTTTTTTTTTTATTTAGTGTCTATTTGTTCTAATGTCTTCACTTCTCTTTCCATCTCTTAGCGCATTTCCTTTAATTCTTCTCAGTACTCTCATCTCTTCCATTTCCGCTAGCCTTTGTGTTGCGGCATATGTCGTTATTGCTCTTACATTGGCTTTAAAGCGCCTCAATGCTAAATTGGTGACTGAAAGTTAACCATATAAGATGTACAGGTCATGTGGTAAGATCAGAGG